AAGTGAACAGGGTGCAAATATGTTCCTTTATTCACACTGATTACATATACTATAATAGACAAGCATCTGAGAGATACTGACCTAGAATGGATGGAAACCCACGTATAAACTCTTTGAGAAAACGTGGCCTTACTATGTTTGATTTCTGAGAGAAAATAATGTTTAGCTGGTCTAAACCTATCAAAATCCAACAAAACAGTCCGGTTTGGCCAGTCTGGGAGACTAGCTGATCACTTTAAACTGGTTTAAGCCATTTTTCAGCAGGGCAAGTAAGTTACATGCATACGTAACTAGGGCTGTCAAAAAAAATTTTGAATTTCGAATATTCGTCGAATTATAAAAAAAATTATAATAAATCCACATTCTAATGCAAAAACGTTGCATTCGAATTTAAGGTCTACGTCAGCCGTCAGGCAGCCTTATCAGTGGCGCACGAGATGCGATGACGATGTATGTGTCATTGATTGCATTTGAATGCTTTTGTTAGCCTATCCAGTTGAACCCACTAGATGCGGTGCTGCTACATTGTTCATTCATATATTGCTGGAAACGAGAGCATCAGTGTGGAGATGTTGTTGTTTACGTCAAAACTGAAACCAAGCCGTTCACACGGAATGCATATTTATCACATTTTCTAGAGGGACATCTATCAGCGCTGCAGTCGCGTCTCGCAGAGAGCGGCATGTTTAGAAAGCCATGTAAAATTAATGCAAGTTCAACTTTTAAAAAACATGTCTAAAGACGTATTTTTTTTCAAAGATAGTAGTGTTATTTTATTACGCTTTGAAGAAACGTGCATAATATTTTGCTCGATGCACCCTCTTGTGGCCTCAGGAGAGAAGCCAAAAGCTTTTTTTCCCCTAACTGAAATTATGCCTTTTAAATTTGAATTTTGATAATATTTAAGTAGAAAATTCGAATTTAGTTTTTCAGTCATTTTGACAGCCCTACACGTAACCTTTTGCTGCCTTGTAAAATAGCTTATTTTTACCAATTCTGAAACAAAATAAAACTTCTATGAGCATAATAATGTATTATCTAATATATAAATGCCTGCTTTACTTAGTGGAGCCGTTTACTTTGTAAATACAATAATTATGCATCGACTTTAAGGGAGCATCATGTTCTTTCAGAGTTAATTTTCAATTCCAATGAAACAGCAGAATCAGATAATCAAGCTCCGCAGGTTCGCTTGAAAATTACAGATGGATTTTTTGGAGGCCTGAAACTCCGCTGGAAAGATTTCCAGGAGCTGGATTGGACCCCTCTAACCTGAAAGAAACATTCACTTCATGGTGATTCGTATTATCTGAATGTGAAAGAACAGCTCGCATGCAGGTGTGATTTTAGCATATCAAAAAATACTGGCCATCTCAGGAGATGAACGAGGTTACTGGAGGTTAAACAGGAGATTGTTAAACCTCAATCAATGTACAAGCTCTTTAAAAACTGAGACAACATGAAACGGCCATTGAATACTGATAAAGACATTAGAAAGTCAAACCCAGTTCTCAACAAATCCATTGAAATGATTGCAGGAAATGTTAAGATTTGAGTAAAAATAGGTTTGATTCTGGATCAACAACCTAGGTGATGTAAAAACACTCATAATAGAGAAGATATAAAATAGAAACTGGATATCAATATGAATGAATTTTACCATGAACACCTAATTAATTTGAGATAGTATTGTAATTAGCATATGAATGGAGTGTTTTTAGCACAGTGATTCATAACCTTGGCCTGGTAACTCAAAGACCCTGGGTTCAAATCTCAAAAACGCTCAGATATAAATTGAGAGAAGCTCATTGGAAAAATGTGAATATACCAACATTTGGTCACACTTTATTTTAAGGTCCAATTCTCACTATTAACAAGCCATTAACTATGAATTTTGCCTGAACAAACTCCTAATTTGCTGCTTATTAAAAGTTAGTAAGGTAATGCATCGACTTTAAGGGAGCATCATGTTCTTTCAGAGTTAATTTTCAATTCCAATGAAACAGCAGAATCAGATAATCAAGCTCCGCAGGTTCGCTTGAAAATTACAGATGGATTTTTTGGAGGCCTGAAACTCCGCTGGAAAGATTTCCAGGAGCTGGATTGGACCCCTCTAACCTGAAAGAAACATTCACTTCATGGTGATTCGTATTATCTGAATGTGAAAGAACAGCTCGCATGCAGGTGTGATTTTAGCATATCAAAAAATACTGGCCATCTCAGGAGATGAACGAGGTTACTGGAGGTTAAACAGGAGATTGTTAAACCTCAATCAATGTACAAGCTCTTTAAAAACTGAGACAACATGAAACGGCCATTGAATACTGATAAAGACATTAGAAAGTCAAACCCAGTTCTCAACAAATCCATTGAAATGATTGCAGGAAATGTTAAGATTTGAGTAAAAATAGGTTTGATTCTGGATCAACAACCTAGGTGATGTAAAAACACTCATAATAGAGAAGATATAAAATAGAAACTGGATATCAATATGAATGAATTTTACCATGAACACCTAATTAATTTGAGATAGTATTGTAATTAGCATATGAATGGAGTGTTTTTAGCACAGTGATTCATAACCTTGGCCTGGTAACTCAAAGACCCTGGGTTCAAATCTCAAAAACGCTCAGATATAAATTGAGAGAAGCTCATTGGAAAAATGTGAATATACCAACATTTGGTCACACTTTATTTTAAGGTCCAATTCTCACTATTAACAAGCCATTAACTATGAATTTTGCCTGAACAAACTCCTAATTTGCTGCTTATTAAAAGTTAGTAAGGTAGTTGTTAAGTTTAGGTATTGGGTAGGATTAGGGATGTAAAATATGATCATGCAGAATATGTGCTTTTTAAGTACTAATAAAGAGTCAATATTTCAATAATAGGCATTCTAATAAGTAGAGATCGACCGATATATCGATTTACCGATATTTTTCCCGATATTTAAGAATTTTACAATAATCGGATATCGGTTTTGTAATATCGGATTCACCGATAAACGCTGTTTTGAGAATTGCGCACAGGATCACCATTGCAGCGCGTCTGAGGGGAAACAAGACAACAACAACGGCGTGCACGGGTTACTTGATTTACTGTCAGCAGGCATTTCATAATCTAGAATGACAAAACCATTATTAGTAATTCTGATAACATGCCAGTTATAATATTTAAGTACTTACGATGTTTTGTTTGTTATATTTCAATATTCCAGAGAATATTATTCAGTGAATTAACATTATCCAGTGAATTATTCTTCACTCTTTAGCCTATTAAACATCTTATAAACCTACTAAAACTGTAGTTTAAAATGAAGTTGATATGACTCCTTTCCTTTATTTATTTTCTCCATTTGAAAACATTAGACCTTCTACATTTATTTTGCTTATTGTTAATATTAGTGTTGCTGCTGATGCTTTAAATAGAGTTTTTTTATTGTTGTAATGTGAAGATTAAATTTAACATGAAAGACTGCTAATTTTCAACACTTTTTTTTAAGATGACTGAAAGGAGGAAAAAACAGTCATTTATTTACTTTATAACAGTAAATAAATATTGGTTCTGCATATCAGTTATCGGGCACATAAACATGCAAATAATTGGTATCGGTTATAAAATATCAATATCGGTCGATCACTACTAATAAGCAACTAGTTAATAGTGAGATTTGGTCCGTATACTAAAGTGTTACCCTACATTTTTGCAAAACTCATGCCTATAGATCCAATTCACTGCAGTTTCCAGCTGAAATTAACTCTAGTGTCATTAAAACACCAACAACGTTTATTCTTTTTCACACAAATTATGATTTCAGGGGCAGATTATTGATTAATAACGGCTTATTTTCACGCACAATCCTATGTTTTGACCTCAAAATGCTTTTATCATAGTGCATGATTTGTAAATGAATATATTTGCATAACATAACCAACTCAATATGTTTGGCTTTTTTGACTAAGTAAACTTACTCAGTAGCTCACCTGGTACAGTAACATTGCCTTTGCAATGCGAAGCGCTGAAATAAAACACGTTTCATGATCAAATAGATCAAAAACTTAGAAGCAGCAAGCCAAAACGGCATGGTTGCTTCAGCAAATGCATTTTTATCTCATGCTTCTTTTGTTAGCACTATCGATTAGGTTTAGTGTAGCTGGTACATTATTTTCAAATGTAAAATAGCATTTAAAGCCAAACTGCCAGTATATGTACAACAACCAACATAAAACATCGCCAGATGCACACTTATCTATGCTGAATAAAACTGAACACATTTTGAACACCACTCAATGGACATTTGTCTCTCGAAACATGCAAAAATGCAACCTAATATCATTTTACAGAAATGTCGTCATATGCACATATCAGCCTTTTCCCAATGAGAATAAACACTCCCTATTTGCAAAGTATATCATCCATTGGATTATGCAAATTAGGGTCCTCTGTGGTTAATACATAAACTACTGATTCATTATATTTCCATAAATAAATAGACTCCACTACCACAATATGAAATTACTCACACTGTGAAAACATGCATTAACATTGTATTAGAATTCCTAATTTGGTAGTGACAAACTAATTTTCCGAATCCGATGTGCTGCTGACATCGCAGATCTCACGCTTTTCCACACACAAGCAACTTGGGTTTTCCCTGTAATCTCAATCTACATCCTGATTTGCGTCAATTAAGTTGTCTAGATGTAAGAGGCAAAGGAGCAGGCTCCTCTGAGACCGTCACACAGCAGGGATCCCAGCGTGAGATCTCAACCACAACATCATCCTCAAAGAACCCCATCCATCATCTTCATAAAGAGCACAGAACCACCAGTGACGAATCACATCCAGAACATATTAAAGGAATGTTCCAGGTTTAATACAACTTAAACTGTGTGGACAAGATCTGCGCAAAAAATAAATTCAGCTACTTACTCAGTTTGATTCATAATCATAATAATCTTCTACATTAAATCACTGATACAAAAGCCTTCACTACTCACCACACAGCGTCTCTGACCGATGCACATCATACAGGAAAGTCGTGTGCTTTTCTCCTCTAAATCACACGGCACCTGTTAAAGAAATGAGAAACAGCCATGATAAATAAGTCATTAATCAGATGATTTTAGAGTGCACTGCTCAGAGGACACAGGGACACTTAACATGGTTTTCAATGTCAAGTCAACCTGTTTTTAACAACCTCTCGAAGACAATAAATCAGATCTGTAGTCATAAATGATTTCCAGAACGGCAGCATCAACTGTTATTAAAACAGAAGAATAGTGCATAAAAACACATGAAACCTTCATGAAGGAAGCCATGACTGAAAAAGATCAAAACAACAAAATAAATGAATTTGTAAAGTAATTAAAAATGGTATTACAACCACAATTACCTCCAAATTTTCATTACTGTAATGCAAATAAAAATGCATGTTAATACATTAATGAAAATTATTTAGAATTATAAAATGAAAGTTTTAGTATTAATTACAACAAATACCACCAAAATGCACTTTATCAATAATGTACATTTTATTATTTACATATATATATATATATATATATATATATATATATATATATA